ACTACCCAGATGAAAGGGAGCCTGACATGCCGTCCAAAGGATTCAGAACCGGACTGTGGCCATCCCCGTGGGCCCTGAACAGCCATGGGGTCAGAACAAAGCACTTGCGCCTCCAAGCTGAACACACAGGGGCCACACCCTCTTCTGCTTCAGACAACACAGCACTGGGCTACCTTCCATGTGCTTTCTGCACTCTTGTTGCCTAGTGTGGCCGCTCAGGATGATAGGAAGTGGGAAATCTACCCTCCATAAATGCTACCTGGGGATCATAGGTGCCTTCTTCACCCTGCTTCCAGTACCCCCATGGGAACACGCACTTCAAAACCCAGGGTGCAAAAATGATCATCTTTCCTCAGGGCCTGAGCACTCTTCAAAATATAAATTCAAACCGTAAGCCCGCTTGGAATCCCAAATGCTGACGTTCAGATAACACGGGCAGGTACCGAGGCATGGATGGCAGTTTATTTCTCTCACGGAGATGAAGCCCCGCTTCCAGCGCGGCATAATTACAGTTTAGCGGGGCCCTCTCGGAGGCCGATGATTGTCGCCAGTACACAACTGTCTATTGTTCTCCCGTAGCTCGTTACCATGGCGATCTAATTAAAGCAGCATCCGATGCTGCCAGCCCATAGGTAGGGATCGTGCGTGCAGCTCCTCGTGGCTGAGGCACGTGGCCTGCCCCTCTTGAGGCACTTCTCCAAATTCTGCGTGAGGGCTGGTTGTCCGGGACATGACCCAGAAAATGTCTTGGTTTTTGAAGCAGGCTGCCAGTGATGCGCCACAGCTGCGCACACTTCCTGATGGCAGGATGGGGAGCTGGTGCTGCAGCCTTGGTTTGTGACCTCGGCTGATTGGTTCATGCATTTCCTTCCCCGTTTGCTCAGGTAAAGCTGGGACACCTGCTTTGTGGAGGGAAGGAAGGGTCCCAAAAGTGCCTTGAACAAAAATGCAAAGAAGGGTGTGCTCATCGTCTCCCTCCTTCTGCTTCGTCCCTGTGTGATGGCAGGAGCACGGTGGGCCTGGGCAGGGGGTGAGCCAGCTCTCCGGGAGCATCCGTGGTCAGGAAGCTGCAATGAGACTAGGGCATGCATAACACATGCTTGATACATGTTGGCTGCTCAGCAAATGCCATGTCCATGGAAGGACAAGCCTGTCTCCCCAGTGCAGAGGCTGTGGCCATTGCGATGCTGCGAGCAGGCGTGCCAGGTAGTAGTTAAGAGCATAGGCTGGGGGCCGGTGCTGTGTTGTAGCAGATAAAGCCACTGCCTGCAGTGCTGGTCACTGGTTCGAGTCCTGGCTGCTCCACTTCCAATCCAGCTCTCTGCTATGGCCTGGGAAAGCAGTGGAGGATGGCCCAAGTCCTTGGACCCTCTGCTATGGCCTGGGAAAGCAGTGGAGGATGGTCCAAGTCCTTGGACCCCTGCAGCCGCGTGAGAGACCTGGAAGAAGCTTCTGGCTTCTGGCTTTGGATTGGCTCAGCTCCGGCCATTACGGCCAAATGGGGAGTGAACCAGCGAATGGAAGACCTCTCTCTCTGCCTCTCCTTCTCTCTCTGTGTAACTCTGACTTTCAAATAAATAAATCAATCTTAAAAAAAGAGCGTAGGCTCTGGATAATTTCCTTAGCATTCAGGTAGCAGCAAGCTCGGCCATGGGTGGTCACTGGATTTCTTCATCCCTCTAGTCCCCTCTGTAAAATGGGTACAGTAGTGCTGGGGTGAAATGGACAAAAGTGAACCATATTTAGGATGAGTCTGATATTGAACTGGAGAGCACCTGTCTTCCTGCTGCGTCAGTGTTTACAGAGCCATAGACTCCTTCGCTGTTGGAATACCACGCTCAGCTCCTTTGTATCACGAGCAGGTCCCATCGAATGGGCACTTTGTAGGTGCCCACATTCACATGTTGTCTTCCTGAATCCCAACATCCAGCCTGCCATGTGAGAACTATTGTTACCCCTGTGTGCAGAAGCATAGGCACAGATTTAGGGGGGCAGGGAGACTTACCCGAGGTACCACTCCTCATCAGTAGTGCATCCAGCCTTTGAACCGAGTCACCTGACCTCCTCATTTCAAACTTACGCTTTTTCTGAATTACTATACTCTGCTGCCACTCACTGGATTATCATTGAAAACCCATGATGTCGGCACTAGGATCCCTCTCTAAGCAGATGAGTCACAGGTCCAGAGAAAGCAGGATCTTGCATGATGCCCATCCGTCGTAGGGGCAGGACCTCTATGTTGATCTTGCCCCGTACTCACAGGTAAATGTTCTCCTACCTCTCATTGTCCTAAACCAGCCCTTCTGGTGATCACCCACAAGCTATCGAATTAGGCACCTGCCAGTGGCTTCCCTCACTTGCCTCTCCTCCGACCCTCCACGGCATTCTTGGAGGTCCACGTGAATTGGGCAGTGTATTGTGGACATGTGCTACTGATTATTTTTCCAGCTCATCAAAGGCCCAGTCTTGTTCCTTGTAGCCAGAGCAGCTCAACACCTTGTCCACCCACCACAGCCCTCATTTCCTTTTTTATGAAGATTGGGGAGCAAAAGCATTTCAAAGGCTACCAATTAAATGAACCCTGTGGTGCCCGTAACCACAATGCCCCTTTGGAGGGCTTGGGAGTTACAGAATCAGTAACCGACAGGCCAGCACATGTGGTCCCCATGATTCTGCAGTCTTCTCCCAGGACCTTGCCACTTCCCCTTCCTTATTTAAAAAAATTATTTCATTTTATTTGAGAAAGAGAAAGAGAGGGAGATGGAGAAGCAGTTGGATAGAGATCTATCTCCCATCCGCTGGCTCACTCCTCAAATGCCCACAATAGCTGGGACTCTGGCCAGGTCTCTCTAACTACTGGAGGGACGTCTCCTGTTGCCTCCCAGGTTGCACATTAATAAGAAGCTGGAATCAGGAGCAGAACTAGGACTTGAACCCAGGCACTGTGATTTGGGATGCAGGAGTCCCAAGCAGCGTCATAATCATTGCACCACGTGCCTGTCCTCACCCACCCAGTTCTTGATGCCCTGTATTCTGCCCAGTCAATCAAAGGGACAGGGCTATGGCTCCTTGAGGGCATATTCCCAACTGGTTTCTGTGATTTCCTGTTCCCACCTCTAAGCTTCTAGCACCCCACAGGCCAGGACAAGCTCATGGTCATAAAGTATCAACTTCATTGAGGAGGAAGACTAGGTCCTGCTCATTCAGTTACTTACATAAGTCCAACTGTGTACATGCCCCAAAGACCCCATCATCTTCTCTCTAGGGTGTTGTCATTTTCCCCTAAATGATCCCCCTGCCTCTACCAATAGTAACTTTAATTCCCCCTTACTTGGTCGCTGGTGGTATCTTCCAGTCTTTGCTAAGTCTACTATTGTATTGAAAATCTTTAATTGGTCCTTTTTATAGCTTGAGTTAAATTGTTCTAGGTTGACATACAAGATTATTTACAATGGGATCCCTGGTGATTTTGCTAAATCTACCACCAGTCCCCCACTTAAATTCTTTGTTTCAGCAGCACTGAAATCATCTAGGGACAAGATCTTTGCCAGTTCAGGCTCAACGTTGTATTTCATTGATCTTGTTTAAGAAACAAGGAAAGCAGTCCACATAGTTCTGCTCCTGTTAAGGCCAATGCTTGATGCATGTGTGCGATTTTTATTATCTTAACCTCAAGCCGAGAATGGGCTGAGTCTTCAGGGTTTGGCTCACAAATCTCAGTGCGTGTCTCAGAGTTGGAAGCCTATTCTTCAGCCCTTCTTCCATGTCTTGCAAGAGAAGTGCTCAGTGCCAGAGCTCTCACTCCCTGCTGGTGGCAGATTGGGAGTTCAACTCCACAAAATCGCTTTAGAATGAGCATCTTCAAGGAGCCACACGTGTGGGAAGGTCTTAGGGAGATAGACGAGCATCATCTCTCTGCCCTTCTGCCCACAAAAGTTCATGGCTGTGTGCAGGAGCATAAAATGCCCTAGAAAATTATAATACAAGGGGCTGGTGCTACCATCCAGGGTCATCCGAGGGGCTGCAGGGATGCCCCTGAGACCACTGGACAGTCCAGGAGACAAGGTTCCCAAGTTCATTGTCAAAAAGCTGCTAGAAATAAACCAGGGGGACTAACAGAGCTGCCACTCAGTCAGCAGATTCACTCTGCCGCCGTGTATGCCGTGCTCGCTGCTCGCAGAGCCCATGCCTCGCTCGGGCTGATCCCCGCCCCCACTCTCAACAGGGAGAAGTTCCCGCTGCATCTTCAAACGACCTCCTTGAGCTCCCCTAATAGCCTGGGCTCCAGGCCACTCTGCAGCAGCGACCTTGCTGAGGCTGATCCAGGACTCTCCTTCCAAGGCATGTCCTGTGGTTCTTTACTCCTACAGAAAAGAGACTCAACAGAGACATTTTGCAAATGTACCTGGTGACATGGGATGATGCTAGGGCCTGTGGGCTCCAGGACTGTCTTTATACAAATTACCTGACTTGGGTTGAGTCTCCATCATAAGCCTCAGTTTCTCCAGACACAGTGCCTATTCTGATGTCTGTGTCTTTGGTGAGAATTTTCTCCCAGACAGGCTCCCTGCAAGGAAACACTCTTGGTGGTCTAGGCATCAGGTCTCAGCTTGGAATGGGAGCAGAGCCTGAGATTTGGGGTGCTGGGACTCAGCACTGGGATGGGGCAGCCATACCTGGATTTCCTGTTGGGCAGGCAGAGCAGTGGCCTGTTGAGAGCATGGCAGTGTGGACAGTTACCGCAGACACAAAGCCTTGGCATTATCTGCAAGGCACACAGCTCACAGGGCAATAAAATACCTTTTAAAATGTCATCTGCTGAACCACAGATTCCGATTAATAAATCCTCACGACCTGGAGGTACCTGGGGGTGAAATATTTGTCATACGGTCCCTGAAGCTGCCCTGCTCCCTGGACGATCAGCTGGCTTTATGAGCTCATGGTTGATGGTTGCCATAGTGGCCAGCCCATCCACACAGGGTGGGAGGCATGAGGAAGGAAACAGAGACTCAGTGACATCTTGTAATTAGTCCCATGTCCCGGTGAATCATTTGCCAGCACCCACGGTTTGGGAAGCACTGGGAGCTGCCCCTCTGCAAGGAGGAGCTCTGTAATCTGTCAAACAATGTGATCGCCATCTGGCCAGGGGCTTGGCTCCATTCTCTGGGAGGAAAGGAAGGGAAAAGGACAAAGATAATGACGGGTGCAGAGAGAACACTGGGACAGACGGCACCTCCAGCAGGGAAAGATAAGAAGCCAGGCCACCGATTTTATCTCAGAGCTTAGAAGTGGGCATCAGAGCCCCTTGGCCAGAGGGTGACAGCGAGCTTCCCAGAGCTCAGTGCGTTTTCCCAGGGCTGCTCTGAGAGGCGGCAGACCTGGGACTCGGGACTGGGCCTTCCCAGCTCTTTCCAGAGCTCTGCAGCTCCTTCCAGAGGGTTCCTGTGCTGAGCTCACACGTGGAACAGGGGAGAGGAAGGTCGTTCTTCCCTCTCCACAAAGGAAGCAGTACAGGCTTGGAGAGTGGAGAGACTTGGAGCTGAACCAGCCTTTGCAAGGTCATTGGGTTTCAGATGAGCTTAAGGTCAGCGGGCATCCCAGGCAGGGAGGGCAGATAGCCCAGGAGCTGGCGTGAGAGGGTGGAGTATGCTGGGGTCAGCACCTGGGTTGGAAGGAGGATGCTCCTGCAAGGCTCGCTGCCTGTTGTTCTGCACACAGGGTGCCAGGTTCTCATGAAATCGCCTTGTAGGGTGCTCCCGGACGTGGGCCTCCTCTGCTGCCTTCGTGTGACCGCAGCTTCTCCTTGCTGAGACCCTGGGGCAGATGTCATTTCCCAGCACATGTCACCTCGCTCCTTCTAATGGATCTTAAGATACTCTCTTCATCTCGCCTTCCCACTTCACGTGTCCTGGAGGAACGCGCCTCCCCTTCAGGGGCAGGTCCAAGCCCAAACACCCCAGGCAGCCCACCGGGATTGCCAACTCAATGAGTCCCTCCATGTGGCCAACAACTAAATAAACACAGCCCTGTTTGAGGTGCAGTGGGTAAAGCTGCCTCTTTGGATGCCCATATCAGAGTGTCAGTTCGAGTCCCTGCTACTCTGCTTCTGATCCAGCTTCCTGCTAATGCGCCTGGGAGGCAGCAGGTGATGGGCAAAGTACTTGTTTCTCTGCCACCCACCAGGGGGACTCAGATGGAGTTTCTGGCTCCCACTTTCAGCCTGCTCAGCCCCAGTTGTTGTGGACATTTGGGGACTGGACCAGTGGCTGGAAAATCGATCTTTCTCTCTCTCTCTGTTACTCTGCCTTTCAAACGAACAAACAAATAATAGAAAAAGAGTTTCTCCTTTTTTCCCAGTAGGTACTGAGGCTCATAACCATATACAGGAGTTTATATCATATAATTTCTACATAAGCGGTTTTCTTTTTCTTTTCTGACTTATGGTCCTCATTTCCCGAGTTTGCAATCTCTGCTATGTTCACGTTGTATCAAACACCAAGTCTGTCCCGTGGCTGTGGCTGACCGCACCCTGTTGCCTGGTGACTTGGTAATACCATTGCAGAGCTTTATGGAATGATAGAAAGAGAGGGATCAGCCCTCTTGGGGATGTCTCACTGTTCCCATATAACGCGTTCCCAGAGATGGCAGCTGTAGCTTATTGGAACAGTCATGGCTTTGGTAAAACTGGAAATCTACAGTCTATACACCCGGCCCAGGCCAACACTCATGGCGGGCATCCCTGCATTCCCTGAGCGTTGCCTCGGGATGAGACCCACAGCTCTCTGGGGACTGGAACATCAGCCTGTGCAGGGTCTGAGACTGGTCCCCCGTGCTCCAGACACCGCAGGAGCGGAAGGAACAGCGCCTTCCTCGTAGGGGTGACTAAGACGTGGGGACACGTGACATTTGTGTGTCAACGTCCTCAGTTGACTTTGCCACAGGGAAGCGTTGCTAGGCCTGAAAAATTATGACCCAGCTCGTTAGAGGAGGATGTGTGAGGTTCCTGGAGCTGTTTAGGACCTTCACATGCAGAGCATGAACAGGCTCAGCCCTCGCCTTCCACGCTGAGGCAGGGACACGGGGAAACTCACTCTGCTTCCTGTCCGTGACTGCAGCTGGGAGGCTGTCGGGCACGGGGTCCTCCTGATGTGCTCCCAGACAAAGCACCGCTTCTTGGTTTAGAAGTAAAATACAGGGGGTGGGAAGAGACCACAATTTGCCGCAGAGAGACCCATGTTGTAGAGCAAAGGTTTGGCTTTGGACGGGTCACGGTTACCTAACCTCACACCAGCTCCGTATCCTCATCGGGCAACTGGAGATAAACACTACTGCCCAACGTGGGAGGAAGACGGACACAGAGGATTTTTCAAGAGCTCCTCACAAATAGGGCAATAGCTGCTTATTCAGTGTGAGTCCCCACCCAGAGCCACCTCGCTCATTTGGTTCTCACATTTCGTGGGTCCCTTCCATGTTTCCTCTGCCAGTTCTTCCTGTACCATCACCGGCTGCTTCTCCTTGGAACCAGGGAGTTGCTGGTTTAGTATCAGGATGTTAATGGGCAGCAGAGCCCAGAGTGAAGACACAAAGGGCCCACTTTTCTGCTTTATCAGCTGTTGGATTTACATTTGCATTCTTAGCCAGGCTTTGAATCATTTCGCAAATCTGGATTTGATGTTAGAAAACGTAGGTTCAGGGATTTATACTATCTCCTGTGACTGAGACAAGTCACTAAAACTCTCTTAGCCTCAATGTCCACATCTGTAAAATGGAGTGACAGAACTGACATCTTTGCTTTACTATAAGGATCAAAGTGGTTGTGAGTCGTACAGAGTCCTGGAGGCCTCAGATGGCACTCAGAGTCCCTCCTCTGGGCTCCTGCCCTGGCTCTGTGGGCGTCTCTCCTTTCCTTAGCAAATGATCTGGGGAAATCACATGCCACACTCCCCTCTGAACACATCTGGTGCATTTCAGCGTCCTCTCTGGGTGGCTGCTCTTCCTCCTCCTACTGTGTGCTTCCCTGGCGGATCTCACTCCACCCCCTGCTGCCAGATGCCCGCAGCTGCTCTCTCTGGGGTCCTCATCAGGTGCCCCTCGCTGTTCCCCGAAGCTGGGCCAGGGGATGAGGCTATGACAGGCATGGGGCATAACGGGAGAAAGGCAATGCGTGTGCCTTTCCTTAAGTGCCTATTATGTGCCAGATTCTCTGCTAGGCTCTTTACAAACTTGGGTTCTCAGCCATGAAAGCCAGTGCTAACACCATTTTGCCAGAGAGGAAGAAGGCGAAGTCACTCAGCCAAGTGTGCAGAGAGAGGAAGCGGTGGGTCAAGTGCGTCCAGTGGAGCCAGCCCTTGGCCCCAAGTGCGCCCAGCTTCTGAGACGCTCCTGTTTATCCAGCTGCACAGAGTAGGACCAAGTGGGACCCACGGGCGTCATGGGAAGGCATCGCTGGACTTGACAGAGACTGTCCTTGCTAACAGCGAGACCTGCTCACGCTCATGGTGGAAGGGATGTAACCCTTCAGGATTGTGAGCACACAGGAAGGCACAGGCGGGAGCTGAAAGCCGGCCGCAGGGGCTGCTGACGAGGAAATTTGGAGTGCTTGCAAGCCAGAAATGAAGCGGAATCGAACGCAACGCTCTGTCTTCCAGGCCCTGACAGTCCATGCTCAGTGGCTAAGCATCCCTCTGCTCCGCACACAGGCACTGCGCTGCCGCCGTGCACCCTGAAGGCGATGGAAGGCACGGAGGATGGTTGCTTCCCAGACTCACCTCTCCACTCTCGGGCTGGACCCATGGGCCTGGCTCCCCCTGCACCCAGGCCTCCAACACCCTCCACAGTGAATCCCGGGCCCCCCTGCCTGGCGGAACGCTCTGTCTCCGGAAGGGTCCCCCAAAGACAGAGAGGGGGGCCCCCGCAAGGGGAGGCTTTGGCGGGCCTGATTGCATGACAAACACCACACATATTGAAGCACTCTGGCAGTTTCCCGGTGCTCTGAGTCGGAGATCTGACCCTTTTGACCTTAAACATCTTATGAAAGCCCTAGAGGCTGGGTCTCTGCGAAGGAGAGAACGCAGCAACTCCTGGGCGCATTCTCTCTCCTAATTCATTCAAGTGAGCTGGCTGAGTGGGGCCTGCGCCTTTGATGTTCAAGGCTCCTAATTGGAAGGAAGTGAAGTGTTAGCCTGTCAGCCTTTTAGTCTCATCAAATACTTTAAGAGGTATCCGCAGAGTGCAGTTCTCACACTGGTGCCGAGAAAGCGTGGAGTGCACTGCTTTTTGTTAAAATGTTTAAACTTTGCATCTGTCTAACAGAAAGTTCAATGCGGATGTCACAGTTCCTGGTGGGTTCTCCCGCTTCCCTCCCCTGGGCCCGCTGCCCTCTGGCTTGGGAGGACGCTGTCTCTGGGCCACAGTGCTCGCCCACAGGAGAGGAAGGTGGTGGCAGGAGCTAATTACCGACCCCCAGACGCAGGCCTGCAAGCTCCTGGCTGGGCCTCCCTCCGCAGCCCCTTTGATCTCCTTGTTTGGGGTTGTGTCACTCTCCAGGAATGTTGCCCCGCCTCCACCCCCAGCTCAGCATCCCGGAGTGTAACCCTTTAGTCTCACTATTTTACAGCCCGGGCTGTGGAAGCCCAGAAAGGCAAAGTGGTTGGCCCAGTGTCTCTCAGCGGCTGCTGGGGATCCAGGTCCCCACATCCAGGGCTCAGGGCTCCTGGGACAGAGGGGTTCTGCACGTACAGCAGTGCCTGTCTTTAGGCAAAGAAGACTGTGGCCCGAGCAGTTGAGATCTGCAAAACAGAACTTGTATATGCTGGATTCCAGTCTCCCAGGATCATGGTCAACAGACTCCATGAGGCCATACTTGTGGGTGGGGCGAGGCACCTGTGTGTGATGATTCTTGCTCTGGGGAGTGGTCACTCATTGGGAGAGAGGGTATAGTACACCATTTTTTTTATTGTTACTATGATGAAATACCAGCAGCAGGTAATTGTTCCTGGAAAAGAGGTTGATTTAGTTCATGGGTCTGGGGACTGAAAGTTCAAGATCATGTGGCTTCAGGCGAGGGCCTCATGGCAGCGTCACTGTGGGAGAGAGATTATGTGGCCAGACAGGAAGCCAGAGAGCCGTCCGGGAGCTGGGCTAGTCTTTTAAGGACTATCTCTTGTGAAAATTAACTCAGGGTCCCAGGACAACCACTTTAATGGCTTCCAAGGGCATGTCCTCCATGACCTAAGAACCTCCTACTAGGCCCTGCCTCTGAGAAGTCCATACCACCTCCCCACATCAACACACTGAAGGTCAAGCCTCCAATACATGAACCCCAGAGGGACACACTCAGACCACATGCAAACCACAGCACAGACTATGCTCTAGGAGACCCTGGCACACATGACTACACCAGAGGGGAGAAACAGAGTGGGGGAGCGCTGGGGTGGGGATGTCCTCAGACAGACAGAGCCCCTGTGACCAGCACTAGGCCATGGGGGTGGTGCAGGAGGCAGAGGGAGAGGCAGAGAGAGGAAGCTGAACACCAGGGCATGTGTGGGGCCTGCAAGCGGCTCCATCGTCCAGGGTGCACAAGGCGAGGGTGAGGAGGGGTGAGCAGGCCACCATGCAGAGGGCTTACAATGGCCCTGAGGCCTTGGCCACCGGGCCTTCGCAGGCTTCTCAGCCCAGCACCCTCGGTACCAGTGCTCCTGGCCAGGGACTCAGCCACACAGGAAGGGTGCCAGGCCAACCTGATTTTAGAAGACAGTAACTTTCACTGACCCTTTGGGGTTGATGGAGAGGGTGGCAAAATGGGCTCTCTATGGGGCTCTGGAAGGTCTCTTCCAAGACCAATATGATAGAGCAGACAACGTCACATACCTAAAACATACTAAGGAACGTGAGGTCCAAGCCTTTTGAACTTTCTGCTACTACGTGGTATATAGTAACGGGGTTCTGGTGAGACTCCCCGAAGAGCTCCAGGTTAAATACAAGACAGTAAAATCTGAAACAACACAACTTGATTCAATTCGTGCCCAGTCATAAGGTTCC